GTACGGAGAGTGCCATTGCTACTCCGCGCCTTGTCCTACGACCTACGTCGCTAAGCAATGGATTGCTGAAGAATCCCCGACTCTTCGCAAACAGAACGTTCTTTATGTCGGTCACCAGACTCATGTGGAGTAGCACACATACCGGAACCATCGAATAGAATAAGAAGTTTTCACAAAGCTAAGGCACCTTGACACCACTCTTAACTGGATCAATTTCAAGTGTTGTTTGACTACATATAGATTTCATTTTGATAGAATGAACGAGGGAATCAGCGGTCGACCTCAAATGGTTCTATTCGGTGCTCTTTTGGCACTCCAGATGGGACTAAACTTTGAACTTTTTCTTAAGGGCTGTTGTAGATGCTGCCATGAGAGATAGGAACCCTTCCTTCTTGTCATTAAGATGTGACGAACAGATATGGTGCACATCATTTTGGTGCAATAAGAGAGTTTGCGTGCTGCAATACCACCAGTGCAGCGGCCCTTGACTCTTGGATTTCCCAGACACAGTGCGTTGACAAAGTCGTGCATCGGAAGCGTCTCGTCCATGGTTCTTTCAAAGTTCGCATGGTCGTTATTTGTGATTATTGTGCTTTGGACAGGCCTTTCTGTAAAAGTAATACTAGCTTTGCGTGCGAGGCCTACAAACACAGCAAGGCGACACCCACCAGTAGAGGAAATTTGCCCGGGGAGCCAATTGCCTAAATCTGCTTTTAATTAGTCGAGACCTTATGTCGCCATAAATCACGCTTCTATTCAGTGATATGACCTGTAGGCGACGTCGGAAAGTGTCAAAATGTCCTGTATCGCCGCAAATAGCGTACTTCTCTGCAACGTAAAGCGAGGATCGTAATTCACTTCCCCTCAATCAGCATCATTTTCCTACACCACCTAGCACGCACCAACTCTTCATCCGCATTGTTTTGAGCCCTTTGCCAGTCTTAGACCGGTTTTGTAACGATGTGCTCGCAATCTTAAATTTCACATCGGAAGCCCTTTATGAGAAGTGCGAAGTCGTTTCTATCATGACACTTAGAGGCCACATCTACTCGTGCGACTTACCACGAATAACTTCAAAACACCGTAATTTGACTTGGTTCTAGATGATACCGCAAGACTTTTGTGCGTGGAAAAGACAAAGTGATTCCATTCGGTATAAATTTGCCCAGAAGGAAGAGCTATACGCCTGAACAGGGATACAAGGTAGAGGCAGAGTGCGAGTTTTCATTTGATAACCAAAGAGGCGGATGCATAGCTGACCGAGGAGTCTCGCATGCTGCGACACTTGCTCGACTGCGCATACTGTACAAACTTCAGAACCGCCTTCGCCCCAACTTCCTGCTCAAGCGCTCGAACCGCCTGCAGAAGCACACTGATCGGATGACGACCGCAAATCGTGTTCCCATAGTCAGACAAGTACTTATTAAAGCCGGACGTATCCAAGTTCTCAATCAAGTCCATACCCTATGTGAGATTATTAAATAAAACTGACAAAATTAGGCAAAGTAGAGTGAGCAGTTGCTACGCCCCGCATTGTTGAGAAAACATGCAGGAATCATGTTTTAGTGGAATCAATACAAACCTTATGGTCGAGGTCACTTATTGACTCCCAAATTTCGCCACAGCTTTGATCGTAATATGTGTAACCAAAACGGCTACCTACAATGACATAGAACCAATTGAGATTAAAACGATAAGGCAAGTGAAGTGCCAAAGCAGAACAAAAGAAACCACCGCCACAATGCATAAAGCTTCATGGTTTCTCAAGACGACCACAATTGTTTCCAATAAACGGTAAAAAACGTAAACATGTAAAGTAGAGATGTGAATTAAATGGCCGGCACCAATGGACAAAGAGGAGAAGATAGGATAAGTTTCGTAATGGCAATAGTGCAAGACCTACCCCAGTGGCAGAAATCAGAGGATATAACGAAGACATTAGAGGGATCAGAGAGGAAAGGTGATAATATCTCTCCAAATGTTTGTTCCATCGAAAAAGACAGGCTACCTACCATAATTGGTACAACTGTAAAGTTGTCAGCATGTCTAAAATAAACAGTCTCGTGTTACACAGGGAAAGCCAAACGAGGTACCTCAGATGGGCTTAAATATGCTGAGTATGACGACTCAACTTACGCCTCCATAATTTTCGCTATGTATGGGAACTGCATCTCCATAGAGTGCTCATCCTCATCCTGCTTAAGAGCAAGATTCACAAACTTCCCAGTATCGAGAAGCCTCCTTCGCACTAAAGGCGACTAACACAACAAGTAATTTACCGTCCTCATCGACGTGCAAGTTGTAGAAAGGGGTTTCGAAGTAGTCAGCGACAGGTATTGCACAAGCCTCAAGGTAGAGATTGTGGGATGGACCAAGCACAAATATCCTCTTTCTAAGTTAGTGTAAAGTAACCAGAGAAGTCTTACGTTGAATTTGGATTGATCTGTTTAAAGGCGAAAGAAGCGCATTCCCCAGAGTAAAAATATCCAGCATGTCTAGAAGTGTAATTCATGAACACACATACGGCGTAATTATTGCCCTTGCCGGTCCGTGCGTGTAAGTAGCTTTATTGAGCCAGTTCGAAAGTTGATTGTCCAATTCATCGACTATAACCATAGTTTTTTCAACGAATATCATACCATTGCCGGAATACCAGCTATTTTTGTGAACTGCCCTCCTTGTAGACATTTCAGAACTACCGGGGAAAAGAACAAACAGCGCATTGTCAACGAGCGCGAACCGTGCAAATGAAAACATGATTTTTGAGCACAAAGTTAGGAAAATACATGCGAGCCGATAAATTACATAATCTCAATATTAAAAATTTAAACTTTGGTATAACATGCGCAAAGCAATATAAATTAAGCCTGCAAGAATACAATGAAGCAAAATTAAACAAATTGCGAGACAAGTAAAGCAAGTTGCGTTTGAGGCATCACAATCTAGCCCCTCCACTAAATTAGTTGAGTAAATGCGAAGTCATCCAAGACCTGCAACGTATATTGCTTGCTCGTCTCGCATACTAGACTTCTTGTGAAGGAAAGGCATTTGGAGTACCTTCTTAATTAAAATGTTTGCATAACTGGCAAGTTCATGTGTATTCGTCGTGCTCAATTTTCGTGCACTGGCATCCAGGCCAAGCCAAACCTCAGCCATCCATATTCCTCCTGGATAGATGCATTTCGCCTTGCATGGTGCCCTCTTACGAACAGGAAGTCCCGGAATGTTACAGCATTAAATTAACGCTGACAAATTCGATCCAGATTGTTAATGGAATTTCAGCAATTTTTATAGTCTCTGCAGGTTATTATATCACTGGTTTGCTAGGCAGAATTCAATAGATAATCATTACTTATTTGAATGGATCTCCATAAAAGTGCGACATGAACGCTTTTTTCATCCAGTATCGTTGTCCTCATTCTCACATTTAATTTATATATTCGCTTATATAAGAGTATTTGTTTCTGTTTCTAAAAATCCCTGGATTATAAATAATTATTCTCGCTGTAACGTATATTTTTGATGAGACTTTTCTTTTAGTTTTTCAATTTAGCTACACTGTTGTGTTCTTGAGAGTTTGACTAGTTTGCTTTCCGATCACTTAGTTTTTGGTGGCGTCGAAGTCTATGGCTACGGATCCTCTTTGGGATAGTTTTTGCTACTTTTTATGGTTTACCACCTTTCCAACGGGGTCTCCTGCTGTCTCAATCCTAGTTGGAGTTGTTAGCTGCTCTGCTACGAACTAAATATTTGTCACTTCCTTTTGCAATCACTGTTAGTTTATTAATGGACCAGGATAGCGTTGTCAGTGCTCGGAGTGATAAAAGCGGTATTAATCAGCAACAGCAACCTGTTCTTCAGAACTTTTCTGTCCAGAGTCCTGATCCTAGACAGCAGATAAATTATCCAGCATCTTCCGCATTTCCTAGTGATGTTCCCCGTAATCATACCGAAATACAAGTGCGCGGAATGACACTTGGCCAATCTCCTATGTTTTCCCAGCAAGGGTCTTCTGTTTCCCAGCACCCAGGATATAATTCCAACTGGAATGTCCCCCAACCGACCAATCAGCCCTTTCTCCCCTACACTTCACCCACTATGTTCCCTCCGCAACAATGCATGACTATGATGGGCTGGTCTGGACCCCCTCCGATGCCTGGTTGCCAGCCGTCGGCTGCATTTCCGATGCAACCACTTGCACCTTCGTCCAACCAATCCTATCCTCAAACCCAATCTAATCAACCACTTATTCCAGTGGATACGAGTGGCATCACGCCGAAGATTTCACATGCGCATGCTCCGATATCCAGCAATAGGAATGGGAATCAACAGATGGATCAGTATGGCCATGACGAGAACGCATGGGCTGAGAATGCCACGGCTGTCACTGGAGCTACCAGTGAGACTGGTCTGAGTGCTGATAATATGTCTCGATTTGGTGCACGATATGGCCTTTTTGCATCTTTGGGTGTCAACAATAGTCCAAACTCGTGCGTGGGTGGAGCAGCGGCGGCTCTAATTCGGACCGAAATTGACAGTTTCCCCAACCACACATGCACACGACTCTTTGGGTTTCTGGTCTATTTCGGACTGGGATTTTGTTCCATTTGTTCTCCTGTTCTCATGGTGATATTTCCCTATCTTCCCTACATTGGATGGAGTACAGATAAGTGCGACCATACGTGCGAGGGCCATCTCATCGGAATGGCTGTAAAGCTTGCACTGCTAGGTCTAGGAACTTGGATTCTGACAGCACCTCACTGTCCAATCTTAAACGGTACTCGAAAGGTCTACCCACGCGTCCGACTGTGGCGAAGCCTCTTTCTCTGCCTCATATTCGTCATTTTATTTGCATTTTGGCTCTTCTACAGTGTCCGCATTCTTCAGCCGCGGAGACGAGACTATGGTTCGATCGTCCTTTTCTCTAACAGTCTCTCCGACGCTTTGCTTTTTCTGAATTTTTCTGGCATAGCTCTCCTGGAATTTCAGCGACTTCGCTCTCAATATGCGGTTCATGTAGTCAGATCGCCTGATGGAGCTTCAAAAACTTACAGACTAGGAGAGATGTCGCTTCAAAAGGCAGCTCTGGAAATTCTACAGATGTACATGGTTGATTTTACTGTGAGTTTAAGGTGATCGTGACTGCCATTCTACTCTGCTTTGCTACTTGTAAGCTATATATTGCTTTCACTGAACTCCATAACGCAATTATGGTGTGTGCATATTTTCAC